GGTTGTACGGCAGTGAAGCATCAGTGCCAACACTGATGTTGCTGTCTTTGATGATGATGATTTGTAGTTACTGACATTGTACTTCTGGTATGAATAACATATACGGCAACGAGGGATCGGTGTTGAACACTGATATTACGGTCTCGATGATCATTTGGAATAATATGTGCTGATTTAGGCGACGTCTATTGTTCATTTGATTGAGTTGTATGGCATTTGCAGACAGACCTGAAGGCTGAGAACACAGCTCTGTTTTTTTCTTACATTCACCTCCGATCTAATTTTATTCGTCAGTGTGACTGTGTTTTTCCAGTAACCTTCAGTCAGGTCAGATCGATTGTTAATCAGCCACTGAAACCCTTGCTGTTGTATTGCGGCGAGACTTGGTCACTTCGGGCGGAGGATATCTTGACAACTTCGGGTCTTTGACCGTCGATGTCTCAGAACTATGGCTGAAATCGACAGGAACCAGCGAATTCGCAATGGTTTTATCAGGGGACGGGTCTTTAATCGAGCAGATGATACTACACTCAAAGAATGCTTCCGCCACTACTAGCTAAGGTACCTGAGGCATGTGTTACGCTCGCTAGAAACGCTGTCGTCCGCGTTTAATTTGGAGTGACAGAAATCTAGAGATTGACATAATCTGACACGACAGAAGGGAATGAAAAGTGTCTGGGTACTACTTGCCTTCCAGAATGGAGTCCATGTGACCCTGTCTGTGCTTGATTGAACAATAGGGCAGCTAGCGGATGTCAATGACATTAACGATATCGGTTGAAATCCAGATTTTTAATGGGGAATCCAGCTTGTGGGTGAGGCCAGCCTATAGTGAAAAGATGTGTTCCACCCATATTGTGAACTTCATAGATTCGCGTCCCACGAAACTTCACGGGAGTTTCGAACCTGCTAGGACGTCAAGAGGTCTCACTTTTTGACCATCGATGTCTTCAAAGCATTGCCAGAGTCTTGTGGGAACACCGGATCAGCAATGCCGAAGTACGTCGAATGGTATTCGGAAGAAACAACACCCTCGATAGATGTACTGACCCCACTGTATCGGTTGTGCTGGCTTGGTCACGTGCTGCTCATGCCAGTCAACCGAATTCCTCTGAGGGCTCTTCGCACAACCACGTGAAGGGTGAAAATGAGCCATAGACGGTCAAATAATGACTTGGCAGCGAAGTATGAAAGCTATTACCAGTGAAGTCAGCTGCGCTGGTCATTGCCGTCTTCCCGGATAGAGACTTTGAGACGGACCATATCATGGAGACATTATCAGACATGGCGCAGTCGCACCCTCAATGGCGCTCATGCACCCAAGCCATTGCCTTCAATGCGTAGCTCTCTTCCCAAACCGCTCACTTGACAGTCCACTGACTGCTGTTTTCACGCACGAATTTACCAGCTCCCGCCTCCGACGTGCAACTATCTACCTCACCTCCCCGATTCATCGGTAAACGAAACTGTGAGAGCTACAACCACTGAACGACAAGTACGAGGTTCCTACAGCTGACAATGTTGTTGATGATCATGACCATGATCGAAACCGCAACCTCCCGTCTAGTAGTTTGAACAGTTAACCGCTCTACCACGAGCGGCTCCTCGAAAGTCTGAATTGCTCGCACTTAGAATATAGTGTCTTCCATCCTTCAGTCACATAATCCACATCGCGCTGTCGCGTGTTTACTAGTTTCTCGGATGACAGATGGGAGTTCAACTCATCGTATAGACTGTTCTTCCTGTGAGCTACTTACAAGCTGTTAATAATTTAGGATTTGGAAATTTTCAGTGGGAGTTCTTGGGCGTTGATTGGATTTTCTTACAGTACGAACCCTCCCATAAAAATTCTTGAATCTCCTTACACCAATATCTCGATTACCTGACAGCGTTAGAGATGTAGGTACCCCGGTTGATTGTGGTTGGTTGACGCTGGTCCTCTTCCCTTTCACACTTGTTTCCATCATAAGGCTGTATTCAAGTAGTGACATGATTTTACGGTAATGAAGCACCAGTCCCTGGTGTTGCTGTCATCGACGATGATGAAGTTGATCAGCGGAAGTAATGCACTTTGACCTGCGTTCCCTTGGGGGATGGGTGGGAAATCGTTTAGCTCTAATATCCTTTCGGTGCCTAGCTGCCATGCCATTGGAAAGAGGTTCGAAGGCCATGATACTGACAGGTTGCCCAAGCCTGGACAAGAGTAGCCAAGATTCTGAGGTCGGATTAGAACCACAAACCTTCCGGTCCATTAGCTGGCGCCTTAACCACCGAGCTATCTGTCTGACCTTCATGCAATGGTTGCACTTTGAGTAACGCAGTTCTATTCAGTTTAACACGCTGGATCATTGTGACACTGAAGCTCAGCCGCAGTGTTAAGTTGGCAGCTACTTGCTGCATTACTGTAAGCGAGACTCTTGGCAGGTAGGTTTATGTAACGCCTAAGCTACATAGGATACAGACTGACAAAATCCTGGTGGGAATATCATGCATGGCTAGCTTACTGGGACTAGGCAAAGATGTCTGCTCCCTCCATTTTTATTCAACTTCTTCATTGTTGAAATAGTGAGGCGAATGCTGAACGGTTTTCAAAACTACGGTGTTCCACTCATTGCTGATGAGACCCTTATCAGTCTGGAGTACGTTGACACCGTCTTCATTTCGGAAGACGAATGCCAAGAACAAGCACTGGTGAGGAGTCTGTTCACTACGCCACTATGTTTCTGAATGTACCCAGCACCTACAAAGTTCAGAGTCATAGTTTAGCGCGTGAGGTTCCTGAAAATACCCTTTGCAATTCAATGAGGGGCACAAAAGCGGAGAATTTTACGTATTTCAGTGGTTCCACTAGCTCTGACGGAAATGTCTATTGAAGTCAGTGCGCAAACCTCAGAGGCTGGAATCACTTTCATTGGATTTGTGTCACTTTTGGCCTCAAAAAGACCTATCCCTGGGTCTCATTGTGGCGTACGCCAGTCTACAGTAAGGTCCGTGTTGTTGTATGGTTGCGATACAGTCTTTGCGGACAGATGATATGGGGCGTTATCAGGCTTTGGACCAGTGGTGTCTCATAAATGTAGTTGGCGTCGGATAGCGTTAATGAACTGGTGACGAGGTAACTGGAAAAAATATTTGGTTGTGCATCAGGTACTTCAGTGAAAAAGAATGTTCAGCACAATCAACTGCGGTGGCTCGACCATGAGCTGCGAATCCCAAAACATCGTCTACCGAGGCTAGCGTTGTCCTTGCCTCCTAAAGAATGGCGCAAACTCCGAGGTAGACAACGTGTGGCTTGGTGGAAGTGTGTAGAATAAGATATGAACAGTTCAGGTATTGTTGCGGTCCGCCTTTTATGATAGGGTCCCTGTCACCCCACCACTGTGCTTGGCTGCAGGCCTTCAAGGAAATGGCGGCTTATTGATGTCAGTGGCTTTCATGCTATTAGTTTTTTCCAGGTTGTCTGACTGGTCGCTTTGATGGGTAGGCGCCCCAGAATGCTTGCTATAAGCCAGCACCAGATCTATACTCGGCTGTTTTATTTTCACTTCCAATCTCAGAGCACTTTCACTAACGACGCACCGATGATGTCATCCCAACTGGTGGTAAAACGTTTGCAATGAAATTGTCAAACTCATCGAACAGACCAGCGGCTATCGTTACAACCTTAGCTACCTATATTCTATCGAATTACAGGTCTCCAAGTATGGTTAAGTAAATCGCGGTTGTAAAGCAGTGAAGCATCATTGTCAACATTGACATTTTTGTCCCCGGTGATGCTGATGTCAGAGGATCGTCTACCTCTCAGCTCTTCGTCAAGCCCTACGGAGACGACCAAGTGGTGGACGGCATATGGCTAGTGGAGTACGAAGATGCTGGTCAGAAATCTTGTCGATTCGAAAGCTTTCGCGTTCCTGGATGTGAACCTCAGATTCGACTCACCCTTGGGTAATAACTGACATATATGGCTCGGCTGCACCAAAGCCCTAGCCTCCACTATATAGCTTCTGAGTCTCCCACCTCGTCAGTAAACCAGTGTGATTCAACATTAACTAATTGATTATGTCGTCACCTTCGCTGTCTGATTGTATCTTCCCTGTTCTTCCCTATTCTGGATCGCTTTTGTGAGCACGTCGGACTTCGTCTCACTAGGTCCATATCCTACTGTTCTTTCCGTTTTTACTCAGGCCTTTCTTCTACTTGGTTATGTGGAAGCATACTATTGGTGAGAGGAAGAAAGAAAGCACTCGTCGTACTGTGGTTGTAGCTACCGCAGTTTCGTTCACCGATGATTTGGGGGGGGGGG